CTTTATTTTCGTGGGGGGTGTGTATGCAAGGCTGTACTGGAAAAGGCTGTATCGCCACGAGGACAGCTGTATTATCCGCGCTCCTACCCAGAAATGAATATTGCCACTAGAAAGTCTGCGTAGGAAGTTACGTCTGTTTCATGTCAGAGGAGGTGAAGGAAGAGAAAGAATCATCATGGCTCCCTCCCCCCCACACACACAATGACAGAAAAAGGCATTTACAGTTGTACAGTTCTGATACCCAACTTCAAGGTCACACGCACGTATCCTCGCATTAATAGGTATCAACGCCTATATCCTAGACAACATTCAATACTACTGAGATATTCTTAAACTGTCTTATATGTAGACAAACACACAGAAACGTCCTACCTTGGTATGGTGAAAGTGAGAGAGAACAAGCTCACGGTGTTGTTAGGTAGAGAACCCCCGAAAAGTTACCAAACCGCTTCTGTCACATCACTTTGAATAAGCATAACACCAAAGGTCAATGAAACTATCTGAGGTATGAGTCCCACCTTACTACACAAAAGACTTCTGTCTCAATGTTCTTGGTGTGAAATGTCACCAAATCTGACTACGTCATCAGACTTTCTTTGGACAAATCCCACCCTTGCCATTCTTTTCCCTTTCAAGACAGGGTAGGACTGATCTAAGATGTATCAACAAATATCCTTTCCTGGAATTTCTCAACGGTTAACCTTTCTGAATAGAAGTGCATTGGTGTGTAAAACCTCACACCTGGATGACGTGACCTGGGTGTCACACCTGGATGACGTGTGTGCCCACAGGCGAGGGAACGACGTAGTCGGTCAGCTTTACATGCAACACTCCAGACCAAAATTCACTGAAGCAAATGATTTGATAAATGTAAACAAAACCATCACAAGCAGGGTCCCGTCCCCAATCCTGAAGTATTGGGAGTAGATAGGGGTATTCATGTTGGTTTATGGTTACTGCTGTACCCAGCAGAGTACGCCCGGATCGTAAGAACACTACGGCGTCTTTGCAGGACACTAAGACTGTCCGAAGTCACAAGAGGAAAAATTCAAGAGAAAAAAATCACGGCTGGCCGGCATGACAGAACAAGACATTTACAGTTCTCATATATTCAAGCTCATACGGCATTATTTTTTAAGCTTGTCTGGATATTCAGCACTGCCAAGGACTACCTAGATATTCTTATACTGTCTTTACCTAGATATTCTTATACTGTCTTTTGATAAAAAATGTTACCGGTACTTACCCCTTGTCCTGCTGGCATTCCTGGCACAATATTTTTCAATAATTTCATGTCTTAATTATATCATAGACCCCGGAATTTTCTTTTGCCCTGCAGTGGCATAGTTACTTCTGCATTCGTTGCGTTTCGCTGCGGTGTGATGCGTTGCACGAAAAATACCCCCAAATCGTATCTATACAGGGTGCTATATAGATGGTACTGTATGTGCAGAACAACAATTTTTGTGCTCCGCAGGAACTAAAAAATGCCCTATCTTTGTAAAAAGGAGAGAGAACAAGGTTACGGTGTTGTCAGGTAGAGAACAATGTCGTTTGAAAGATACGCCCCCCGAAAAGTTATCGAACAGCTTCTGTCATATCGTTTTGATTAGGCACGACACCAAAGGTCAGTGAAACTATCTGAGATACGAGTCCCGCCATCACTCCACAAAAGATTTCTGTCCTATTCTTCTGGGTGATAAATGTAATCAATGACTACATCACCAGACTCTCCTTCGACAAATGCCGCACCCTTGTCATTACCTTCGCCAAGAAGGTTATGATTTCAGAGGCGTTCGTGTATATGTGTGTGTGTGTGTGTGTGTGTGTGTGTGTGTGTGTGTGTGTGTGTGTGAGTCCGTCTGTAGACACGATAACTTGAGAAGGCTTAAATGGATTGTTTTGATACTTGGTAGGTGGGTAGGTCTTGATGAGACCTCAAAATGATTAGATGTCGGACACCTTAGCGTCTTGTTATGGCACTGCAGCTGAACTTCCGGTTTTGATATCTCATGATCTAGACATGCTAGGGTGACGAAATTTAGGTTGGTAGGTAGCTCTTGTGCTGGGGAAGAAGTGACGTGACTTTTTTTCCCACAATCCACTGCGAGACAGGAGGCTTGACTTTTTTCAAGCTCCTGATATACTCTACTGTTTGCGACGTTTGTACGTTCTTCTCAGGAGCAAAGAAGGTAGAAACCCGACTTCGAGAGCTCAGTGAACTAAGGAGGACCAAAGCAGCGCTCCTTGAGAAACCAGAATTAGTGTAAAAACCGCGGATAGTGAAGACACCAAGGCGGTCACTATCCAAGATGGCGGCGCGGAGACCCCCCTCCCACCTGAACAACCATGACCAGGCAGAGAGGGTCGAGCCACTGTTTGTGCAGGTCTCGGACATCTGCATCAGCGCGGAAGACGAATCACTAGGATGCCTAGAGATCTGCCTTGCAGCCGAGGACGTTTCAGGACCCGTCACAATCCTCGGAGCACAACCGCAAGGTAGGGGCAAAACCCACTGGCGCTTGTACCCACGTACCAATCAAGACCGCCTAGCTCTGGTACAAGCAGGAGCTATCACACTCCGGGGGCAAGAAGCCTCATTGCTGCAGAAAAACCCGTTCGTTGTAAGGCCGGGGGCAACAACAACAAGAGTCATTGTAAGCAACGTGCCGCTGTCGTACGACAATGAAGAAATAAGTAAGACTTTAACCACAAGGGGCTACAAGTTGATGAGCAGGGTGATAGATGAAAAAGCTAGGAACAAAGAAGGCAAACTTACACGGTTTCTGACTGGCAGAAGATTTGTGTATATTGAAAAAACCCAGCACACCGCTCCCTCCCAAGATATCTGTAGGAGCCTTTGTAACTGAGTTCTACCACAGAGAACAGAAAGAGGCCGGTCGGTCCAGAGCACAAAAATGCAGCAATTGCCTTCAGGAAGGGCACCACAGAAGCATGTGTGAAAACGAGATCATCTGCCACCAGTGTAAGATACCTGGGTACAGGAGAGGTGATCCAGCATGCGAGCTGGAGAATGGAGAAGTCACCATCACCAGTGTAGCCGAGACCAACACCGGCTACACAAGCAACAGTCCTGCAGCACCTGAGATGGAGCGTAGACAGGAGAGTGACAACAGGAGACGAGGCCTCTGAAGCGGACGAGACGGATGGAGAGCCTATCCTGGACAACCCGGAGGGAAGGACAGAAACCAGACAACCCAGAGGACGTGGATACTCAACAAGAAGCAGGACTCATACTAGTAGCAACGTAAACAACCAGAAACACGCAAGAAACAATAACTCTGACAATAACACTCCTGATACACATGTAGATGAACAGCGAGACTCAACACAGCCATCAATTGAACTGTGGCTAAAA